TGACCTATTTGGAACACTTCTACCCCCAAAATGTACTTTATTGAGGGTTTAAATTTCACAACCAGTTTCTCACCACTACAGCCATACATCACAACATCCTCACTCAAGCAAAACAGTAACAAATATGGTTCAACATCCTTGACAAATAAATTAACATTGTCGAGTTGAAAAAGGTACCTCTCATTCCTAATGTACCATGCCTTTAGAGCCTTATTCTCCTACCCTACAACCACAAGCCCTGGCGGTTGCATCTCATAAGTATCTTCCGTCAACTTGCTATTAAAAAGAGCCCTCTTAACATTCGATTGAAAAATAAAACCGCCATGGTATGCTGATAGGGCTAGCAGACTAAGGGAATCCCGATTTCGTGATTTCTTAGTTTTGGATTTTGATGATGCAGAGGAGGAAAGCCCTATCACATCTGTTTGCACTACTTCCTCTACTTTTTTCTTGAAACTGCATTGTACCATATGGAATTGCAGCAATTATATCTACTACTACATATGGACTATCATAATCGACCTCGGCATCATCACTGATCTCTCACTCATGGACCCCTACTTCAGCTTCAATGTCAAGATTCTGCACGTTATTTATTTTCTTGACCCCTATACCTTTAGCGAGCTGCCACTTCCTAGTGGACTGCAGCTCGAGCTTTATACAACCCTGGTCCCATTTATCTCCCTCTATTTTCTCCCAGAACACATATGATCTTCTGATTTAACTCTCGTGGCTTTTATGTTGCGCCCAGCTTCCATATTTGCTGCTTTTATGTCAGATGAATACTCATTGAATAAAACCTCCTGATCCCCATGCTTGACAGTCATGTACCTAAGATCATTCCTTAAATTTTCCTTCACTCTGGACCAACACGAATACGCATTTGTATCTCTTTTTTCTTTGAGTATAGACTTGAATCCAGTTGCAACTGCTGAACGCGCAACTTGGGCTTTTTCTCTTGTTGTGTTCCTCAAGCTAAGATTCCTAGTTTTTGTTTTCTCTTTTGATCGTCTTCCTGAGGTGCCAACAGTGTAGTACGAATTCATGTTTCTTTCATTGGTTCTACACAAGCCATCAACAACATATCTTCTTCCATATATCCATAACTCACAAAAGAATAACAAGCCCTTTGATTCCACTCCCGGCATTCAAAACTAAAATGGCCCAACTTATGACAACTAAAACATTCAATTGTTTCTCGTTCCATACTCTTCCATCTCTGCCTAGACCCCTGCCGCTGCAGCCAACTCGTCGCGACCATGACCACCATAATCGTGAGTGGATTTGAAGGCTTGATCATCCTTAACAAGCTTCTTACGAAATTTCTATTCATACACTAATAAGGAGCTTGGCAAAGCATCCACCGAAAGAGTGTCAATGTCTTTTGACTCTTCTATGGAACAAACTATATAATTGAACTTTTCTGTTAAAATTCAGAGAATCTTTTCAACAATCATTACATCAGATGACCAGAGACACCCTCTCCGCAGTTCCTCATAGCATTTGCCATCACCATGACTCGCCCAAAGTAATTGTTCACAGATTCACCATCCTTAATCTCCAACAATTCAAAGTCCCTTCTAAGAGTCTGTAATCGAGTTCTCTGAACCCTGGCACTCCCTTGAAACTTGAGTTCATGGAATCCCAAAGATCCTTTGCAGTAGACTTCTTGGCTATGGTAACCAAAATACTCTTATCAATTGATCTAAATAAGCAATTCTTAGCCTTAACATCTTTCAAGACCTCACATGAACCTGCAGAAAGCTCGGTATCAGCATCTGTCTTTTTTATTCCATCAGCTACAACACTCCAATACTCTTCTGAACGCAACAAATTTTCCATTAGCATGGCCCAATGATCATAATCGCCATCAAATCTGGGTATGCCCACCTGGACAAAGTTGTTCTCACCCATGATTTCACTCTTCCACATCTCAATGCAACTATGCAAGCAATTGGATTTCACCTTTATGTCTCTCATACTTCTCACCCCAACAAAGACAAATCTCACCAATGCTTTGTGTTTCACTCACACTCAGAAGCAATCTCAAAATCAATCACTCTTATTTCCCTCGTAGATATTGGCTCTGATACCACAATGTAGAATCCAATTTGCTACAAAGTGATCAACATTTTTATTAAATCAAAATGCGATTAAATACAAAAGAAAAAATGATGCCCTCAAACTCTCTGCACATCCACTTCTATCCACTAACTCCTTCTCCCTGATATCCAGCAACTACTAACTAACGTCTAACAACTAACTTCTGTTAACAATTAGCAGCACGTACTTAGACACATAAGCTACCTATAATTATTCAACTGGGACTCCAAACTCCAGCTAACACCAAACTTCAGTGTATTCTAATTAGTAACTCAACAACTTTAAAAGCTATTATATCCAAAGGTACTCTTTTCCCCTGGCTAATGGCTATTATATCCAAAGGTCATTTGGTTTTGTTATCCAATACAACTGAAGAGGACACTTTTTAGCCGTTTATCATTTTAATTGTTAGTTGCATAACAACAATAACAATTCACAACCCCCTGGAACTGGAAGAGCTATGATTGATGAATAAATTAAGAGATGCAAAACTAGAGTACCCCTAGGCTTCTTTCAGCCGACCGAATTGGAATTAGTATAGTTTCCTTTTGGTTCTTTGCCGTCCTAATCATTCATCAATCATCAAATCACTAATCAATTAGTATAGTTTGCTTTTTGTTTCTTGTATTGGCAAACAAAAGAATGCAGCATGATATGTGGCGTTAGCATCAAGTAAGTGAGAAGTGCCGTCTGGAAGGAACTGTTAATTCCTAAATTACTCTTTACTGTTTGGAATTTGGATTCCTTCATAGTTCTACAAGGCCAGAATTCACCGATCAATGGAGGGACTCTGTTCAGGAACCATCCAACGAAAAATTAAATTGTGAAAGAACAGCAATTAACAAGTAACTCTCGAGTCTCGGGTTTATGTTTAATATCCAAAAATAGTCAAATTTTTAAAGTATTAGAACTACTATAAAATAGCCAACTAGTTTAACATATTGGACTAAAATAGTCATACGTTAGTTTAAGCACTAATAGTGTTGATGTGGCTAACTGAAATGGTGATGAGAGCAAAATCATGTGAAGTGGTATGAAGGTAGTATTTTTTAAATTAACACGTAAAGGTTTATTTACCTGTATTAAAACACTTCATCCAGATTAATTATATAGAGAAAAAATCACACCAATTTATTTCACTTCATCCAGATTAATTATATAGAGAAAAAATCACACCAATTTATTTCGACGGCGTGAAGCGAGCCTACATCTTTCATTCAAGATCATCATTATCTTCTCTAGCCATCACCCTCTTCAACAAGCCACCGTCATCTCTTCTTCAGGAGGCAACTCTTCTCCAACGGTCGTCGCTTCTGCAGGCGAACATCGACAACACATCCATACATAACTAAAACCACCTATTGAGATCACCATATCAAGACGACGATGTGCTAGAAGACGGAGGCGACTGGAAATGACGACGGTGAGATCAATTGAAGGAAGCAAGGCCGCTTCATTCTCTCGAAATAAATGAATGGATTTTTAATTTTTCGGTATAATTAATTTGAGCACTTTTTTTAAATATGGAGTGAGTAATTGTTGATATGTTAAGGTGAAAAGAATATTATCTCCATGCCACATTACAAAATCTCATGTACATCACAATTTTTGTTAGCTACGTGTGCATATTTTGTGGTGAAACTAACATTTTTGACTATTTTATGATATTCTAAATAATTTTGGTTATTTCTATTCACTTTTCAAATTTTAGGCTATTTTTGGGTGTTTACTGTAAAAAAAACTATAAATGGATAATTACGTTGAAGTTATTGCAATTTAAAATTTAATTAGTACATTCCTTAATTTTTACAATTGCGAAATAAAATTATTTACCAGTTACCACAAATATGATTGGTTATGCGCCCATCAGTAACTAAATCTGGACCTTTCATTCAGAAAATCTAGATCTAAATGTGGAGAATTAAAATCATTTTTATTTTCCCTAACTTTTATAATCGGCTCATATCTTCTTCGTTTTAACTCGGATTTCTAATTTTTTTGCACAGATGGAACGAGTTTGTTGTGCTCTACAAAATGAGATCCGTTTTCAATATTTTTTGTGAAAAGAAATTTCATGTCTCTCGTACCAACAACATACCATATGATATCTTCTTCGTTTTTAAGTCGTTTTTGAAAATTTTTGCACAGAAGAAACGAGTTCATCGTGATCTATTGGATCTACAAATTTCTTGGTGAACAATATACAGGACCAAAAAATACCACACAATACCGCAAAATATCACCCTAGTACCGAGTGGTATCTTGTGGACAATGTTGAAAGTCGTAAATGACAGTTAGTGTACTCCTATTATCATGTATTGAACCATCTTACAGTCTTTGTATGTTCATAACACCATTACGCTTTTCATACCATATGATATACTCTTGATATAATCTTATTTCAATACCACTCAATGTCATATGATATAGACTGGTAAAAAAAGTCTCAATATTTTTTGTTCCAAACATATATCAAAGTGGATATTATTTTGAAGAGCACAATTAATCTGATATAATTGTGCAAAAAAAAATTAAATTCTGACTTAAAAAATGAGTGAAAAATCATTCAAAGGAAAAAATTAAAAGCTTTTGAGAAAAGAGAATGGTCGCTGATGTGATGAATTCTGATTGCGTTATTCATTGTTGTTGACCAGAAGGTTATTTACCGAATACACTCCCGATTTTTGGTATACATTCTGCACCTCTGTCCTCTGCACTTATTTCTACAGATTATTCAATTTCCTTTTGAGGGGCGGAGGGAGGGAAGATGAGAAAAGGACAGGAGAATCAAAACCAGAACGGGACCCACACACTCTCTCCCTGGCTGTAAACGTCACCATTTCTTCCCCACTCCGTTACATCTCGAGCTGCTCATTTGCTGATAGCTTTCCTGATCAATGATCATCGAGCTCAGAAAGTCGCTCTCTGCTTTCAGTTTTTCCCTATTCATTTTCACTCAGCTTTTCCCCACTCCCTCGGTCTCGCCGTCCCAATTCGGGCCTTTCCCCTGATCACCCAGTTTTCCTTTTTCCTTGATTCTTCAGTTCAGAGATGGCTTCAATGGCGGCCAGTTCAATCGCCGCACCTTCTTCGGTTAACAAAGGTCGACTCTCTTCCCTCTTCCTCTCCCCTCCCGACAGACTTCCCCACAGGAATGCTTTCTTCTTGCCCCTAAAGAAACTTGGATCATCATCGGCGGTTCCATTGGCTAAAACCGACGCTGGCTTGGCTTTCTCGCCGCTGCCCCTGGGGAATCGGAGCTTCCTACCGACGGTGGAGTTGTCGACTAGGGTGTTGGGGTTCTCCCTTTCGAGTCAACTGGTGAGGAGAAGGCCCATTGAGCGTCTGGTCGTTAAGGCGGCTGCTGCTTATGAAGAAGAAGGGTTAGACTAATTACTTGCTTTTTTAGTTGTTGCTTTGTTTAGGATGTTTGTTATTGTTTCATTTTTTTCCTTTATCGATTTCTTCCCCTTCTGGAGGTTCTGTTTGGTTGGCTGAGAAACTGATTTCTCAGAGGAGAAGAAAAAGAATTCTCAGACTGAATTCCTTATTGGTTGATTGATTAGTATTGATACTTTTTTGCACTTCCATTACTTCTATGTAGCCATTTGGAGCCAGCTGCAAAGAGCTTTGGTGAGAGATTTCCTGCTCTGGTTACTGGCTTCTTTTTCTTCACTTGGTAGGCCACCATTGACAACTCCACTTCCTGAGCTACACAATTTCTTGTGCGTACTTAGCCTCCAATTCTTGACTTGGCGATTCGTTTATTTGTCTGGTTCAGGTACTGCTTGAATGTGATCTTCAACATACTCAACAAGAAAGTCTACAATTACTTCCCTTACCCCTAGTATGTGGGTTTTCCCCTGTTATTTTACATCACTAATGGAGTGTCCACGAAATCCTATACAATCTGTTATTTTACCTTTCTGCAGCTTTGTCTCTGTGGTACATCTGCTAGTTGGCGTGGTGTATTGTCTTGGTTCTTGGTCTGTTGGCCTGCCGAAACGAGCTGTAAGTCAAACAAACTAAATGTATTTGAACGAAACTTAATAACCAATCAAGAGCTTGATGATAATCTGGTTTATTTATGACTTGGTATTTCTCCTGTTGCCAGCCGATCAATAAGGAGCTGCTGCTGGTATTGACTCCAGTTGCTTTCTGTCATGCTCTTGGCCATGTCATGTCCAATGTATCATTTGCAGCAGTTGCAGTGTCTTTCACACACACTATTAAAGGTAACGAAATCAGCTGAAAAGGATCATCATCATGTTATTCTTTTTTCCTGGTTGGTTTTAGCAGTAAGCAAGCTTGCTTTTACTGTATGAGCACTTGACATAAACCATGTTAGAAACACTAGGTCAGACTATGGTTCGACCCTCCCTGGATTCTGTCAAGTGCTTCTTATTTCATTGTAGATTGCAAGGATATTCCAATGTGCTTGTTACGATTTCTGTGCTTTAAGATTGTTTCCTGACGATTCTTGTGATGCACTTCGACAGCGCTGGAGCCATTCTTTAGTGCTGCTGCTTCTCAGTTCGTTTTGGGCCACCAGATTCCACTTTCACTGTGGCTTTCCTTAATGCCAGTTGTTCTTGGTACTTATTTTCTAAACTCTTTTCCCCTTTACAAAATGAATTGGTCCTCAATACTGCACTATCACTCAAAGTGAGGTTTCAAACTAACTTTGGTTGATCAGGTGTCTCGATGGCTTCTCTAACTGAGCTTTCTTTCAACTGGACTGGTTTCATCAGTGCCATGATCTCCAACATTTCATTCACCTACAGAAGCATCTATTCTAAGAAAGCAATGGTGTGTAACTATGTATAAATTTATTGCCCTTTGTTCTGTTCTTTCTAGAAAGAGAGGTCGTTTTTAACTGATGTTGATGTAAAATTCAACAGACTGGCATGGACAGCACGAATGTTTATGCTTACATTTCAATCATCGCACTCTTTGTCTGCATACCACCGGCAATACTGATTGAAGGCCCTAAGCTGATGCAACACGGTTTCAGCGATGCCATTGCCAAAGTTGGGTTGGTCAAGTTCTTGTCTGACTTGTTCTGGATAGGAATGTTCTACCATCTCTACAATCAGGTATCTTTCTCGACTTAAAACAACTAAATAGTGATTTCATTTCGTTGTTTTGAGCAAAAACATTATCTGAGTTGCAGGTTGCCACAAACACACTGGAAAGGGTTGCACCACTCACGCATGCAGTAGGGAATGTGTTGAAGAGAGTGTTTGTCATTGGCTTCTCCATCGTCATATTCGGTAGTTGCTTCATCCTACTCACTTCATACAATCCAATTGTTCAATAGGTCGATCACTTAGTTCTTCTAGAGTCTGAATTTGAGGTTCTGACATTCTTGGGCAGGCAACAAGATCTCCACACAAACAGGAATTGGTACGGCCATAGCCATTGCTGGAGTTGCAATGTACTCTCTGATCAAAGCTAACATGGAAGAGCAAAAACGGGTACTGAATTAATTCAATGAATCAGAAATCATTGGCCCGATCCCAGAAATCATCTAAAGATTCTAGCTTTCTCATCTTTTGATTGTTTTACAGAAGGCAGCTGCTGAAGCACCATCATCATAAGGAATGATAGGCCAACAGACTCTGATCAAACTAACAGTTAGCAACAGCCTACACAGAGCAAATAAACCAGACATTCGAGACCCTTTTAACTCTGAGGTAACAAAGACTAGCAATAATAAATCCACGGAATTTGAGTACAAGCCATAATGAGCCTGTTACATGCTCTTCTTCATCCTTGCTACTGTAATGAGCAATGGCAATTTGATTATAATTATCCTCTGTTGTTAGCAAATACAACGACACAGCTTCCTTATAATCTTTCTTCTACTCTTTAGGACGCATTTCGAGCAATGAACCATTATATAATGAAATAATACAGAAATTGTAGCAAGTGGCAAAAGCCATGTATTCAACGTATAAAAGAGGCCTGTTTCTATAACTGTACTAACCTAGCAAAACATTTTATACTGCAAGGAGGATTATCCTACAAGAATTAGGAAAGCTCTCCTAGCATGAAGCGTGGCAGTAACTCAACTTCAAATCCAAAAATTCTACCAATTATTACAAAATTCTTGCCAATCCATATCTCACTGCTACCAGAGCTCAGAACCCACGTAAAGAGCTTTTTGTTGTGGGTTGATGATTCTAGTTAGTAATCATTGCTCGAAGCAGCGTACATTCTCAGGTAATTTACAAGCAGGAACTGATGTAACGAATAACAGAGAACAAGATCGAGCTAGGTGCATGTCAACTAAGATCGACCAAGAAAATTCATGAGTCGTCCTGCAAGAAGTACAATAACCAAAATTAGCTGGTGAAAACACCATTTCAATTAAGAAACAATGATACATTACCCATCAAGCAAATCGGTGCTATATTGGAGATTGAATAGCATGTTCCTACGATTCTCTCCACCCAGTCTAATGTTGAACTGCGTAGCCAAAGAACCCACTTTTTTATCGTTATCATAGTCCATCTCGCGTACACAACGTCTTCTGACCTTCTTTAGGATTTCCTTTGTGGGGAGATATCCTTCAGATACCTGTGCATCCAAAACGGTCCGATGCGGTTAATAGTTCCATCTTGCAAAGGCTACCAAAAATACAATAAATACACTACCTTACTTACCATCTGGCCAATAGTGGATAAAGCAGCTTTTACATCTCGGTTGATGAGATGAGCATCGATGATCAATGAATATGACATTGCATTGCCCAAGCCTATCATGTGTTCAAGCACCTTTGAAGCTTCATCTGTCTGTTAACCCATGAAAGCTTAACCATCAGCATGCGAAGGCAAGATGCAGTTGCAGGCAGGATAATTCAGAGAAACTATTTCTGTCAACATGCAGGGGAAGAATGGAAAAGAAACAGATTTTCTCCGTAAGTTTTACCTTCTTCGACCTTCCAAATGCAAACATCAATGCATTAAATGAGTGAATATCAGGGGCCAAACCAAAAGAAGGCCCAATAGCCTCAAATGTCTGGTATGCACGGTTAAGGTCCCATACATTCGCACACCCCAATATTACACAGTTAAAAGCAGCAACAGATCTGAATGGTGGTTGAGCTTTGCTCAAATTCTCCAGTTGATAGTACACCTGGAGACATGTTTTAACAAGCGCATGTAAGATATCAGGTCAATATAAAATTTTGCAGGAATCACGAAAAAAGTAAACTTGAATCATGGGACATGTTAGACCCATATTTTTATCATGGAAGGCAGAATTAACTTTGAAACTGTTGTAAATACTCAATACTGACTGCCAGATGTGTAAAAAAATTACCAAGTCAAGGGTCTCGAAACCATTCTTGGAACAAGCCAAAACTAAAGGACGCAAGGAAGTAAAGGGGGAGAACAGTTCTTCTTGTATTTCTTGGTTAGATTTACCATAAGCAGCGTCAAATTCATTCAGAGTAGCAAAAGCCTTTTGTAGACTCCCCAAAGATGCATGCACATATATCTTTCCAAGATAGGACTCGGGGTTAGGAGCTTTGTTACCACGTAATGAACGACGAAGAACTGCCTATGATGCATCTAGGAGAGTAGGACTGTGTGTCCTGCCAGCAGTGGCAAGTGCTGATACAATTAATCCTTCATCTACAGAAAGATGTACAGCAGGCCGAGCAATCTCCCCTCTGGCTATCCATTTGGCCATGAACTCTAGAGCATAGAATGCAAGGGTACTGTTATCCCCCTCCATTGCAGCTTCAGCAATGTTGTAGCACATGTTCCACGTTGGTGAGAGTGCTTTGTTCTGATCCGTTGTCTGACATGAGACATATATGCAACAATTTCACTGTAAAATCTAAGGGTATAGAGTGCATCTAAGACCAAGGAAGCAGTTAAACTATTGGCCCCTCAGTAAGTAAGTAAGTAAGTAAGTAAGTAAGTACCTTGCATTTCTCAATAATAGATGCCAACACATCGAGTCTCCGTTTGCGAATACAAGTCTGCACACAGTTATTAAATACTCTCATGGATAAAATGCCACCCATTTTCAAGGTCTTCTCAATATACTTCAAGGCAGAATCAATCTGGCCTGTCTGGAACAGCATGCTAATGACCAAGTCATATGACTCGTCATCTGGCTGGGATTCTTTCCCTGTGATCTGCATCCTGAAACAGTGATGAACATGTCATGAGAAAAAGGCTACCCTTTATAAGGCGGGCAACATTAAATTTACATATCTGGAACTATTACAGAGAGAGATCCAGCTTTGCATTTCTAAGCCTAATCAAAGCAATTGGATACGTCCAAAAATTGAAAGATACAATAGTCACTTTTCTATCATGAACCCTGGTAAAACCATTGATTTCTTTATAGGAAGTTGACATAACAACTGGTGACCCCTTGTAGCTACTTAATGTAGTCTTACAAGCATGGAACTAAGGTTTGTACGACAGATTCAGCAAATTTTTAGGAGATCGTCCTCCACGAGAAATGCCCTAGAAGCAGTTGACCTAAATAAGCACCAGCATCAAGAAATGCAATTCAGACTGTAATTAACCTTCGTTCTGGAGCCAGAAACATTTATCAGATTAGGGTTATTTCTCATACCCGGTTGACTTAACCAGTTCATACAGACAACTTCATTAACTCCAAGAACGGATCTTTAAATTATTAATTGTATATACATGGCACCACGAGACGAACATTTAAGAGTGGAATTCTTGCATTTCACAAATTTGCAGTCTATGAACATGATATCTCCCAAGTTCCAAATAGAAGAAGGAAAGGAAAAAAAAAAAAAAAAACTTGATTCATCCCCAAAGCCTTGTTTCAAATGAACAGAACTAAATACAAGTTGGAATAACTTATGTCAAAACTTCAATCATCAGGACTCGCAAAAGAGGAAGCACCACCAACATAAAATTGCCAAAGCAATCTCCCAGACATACCGTTGCAGCAACTTCTCTGCAGTCTCAGTCTCTCTGGCCTGGTTCATAGCTTTCAGCACCAAATTGAAAGAAGCTGTATTTGGCGCAAGAATGAAATCCCCCATCTGCGCAACCAAATCAAGCAAATCGCCAGCAGTAGCATCCATCATTAGATTCGCCCTCAAGTAATGGTTGTACAGATCCACATCTGGCTTGTGGGGGCTCCCATTATTGTCCAACGACCGCACCCAGCACTCGAATAGCTCCTTCATGTCCGACCACCGCTGCGACGTCGTCCAATCGGCGAACAAGTTCAGCAGTGAGCTCACATCGTAAGCCTGATACATTGCCAGCAAAGGGTCGACAGGAGCTTGCTGGAACGGGTTGAAGGACTGAGGCAGCGCCACGCGGTGACTCTGGACGGGCCTCCGCCAGTTCTCCTGATAAAGAGGGCTGCCGGAGGCCGGATTTGGCGGGAGTGGAGTTTGGGGGACATTTTCGGGCTCGGTTGCCAGCTGAGGTTCTTGGGAAGGAAGGTGAAGGTGGAAATGGACTTGATTGAGTAGAGAGTTCGGATCAGGGGCTTCGTCTTTCCCAGGATCGCCATCGACGACGCCATTGATGAGCTTAGCTCACTCACTAGTCACTACGCCCCGATCTTTCGGAAATCTTAATTTATGGTTTACGAGAAGGGAGATCATAAATGAAATATAAAATCCACAATGTCTATTATCTATATTAATAATGACGAATTAATAATTGAGATCATAGACAATATTAATGTAATATATAAATTAAAATTTTGCTTAATTTAACTATTCGATAAAATTATCAATTACATTATTTAAGTAATGTATTTGGTAATTTAGTGCTTTTAAAAGAAGAGGGAAATGTTGGTTTATTCAACTTTTGGAGAAGAGAAAGAAGAGAGAATTTTGGTGGTTTTGATTTGCGGGGGAGAAAGAAGTGAGAAAGTTTAGTTCTTTTAATTATGAAAGAGAAATAAGGAGGGAAATTTTGAGTTTTCAACTTTTTGTGTAAGGGAGGAAGAAAGAGGAAAATTTGGTTTTACAATTTTATGGAAGAGAAAAAGGAGAGAAATTTGGTTCTTTCAATTTTATAGAAGAGAAAAAAGAGGGAAAGTTGAGTGTTTCTGATTTATGGAAGAAGAAAGGAGGAAAATTTTAGTATTTTAATTTTTTTTTTGAAAAGAAAGAAGGAAACAAATTTGGTTTTTCTACTTTTTGGTTTTTTAAAATTTTACCCTTTGAAATATGAATCTTTAATTTTTATATGGAGGGCATGACTAGTTAAATTTATTCTTATATGCTTTGAAGGTTATATATATGTAATTTTTTATGAGCTAATAACTAAATTAACCATTAGTTACAGCAATCATTTGTTTTACATATCACTTAATTTGTCTACTTGTTTTCTATGCTTCTACATTTATTGCAACTTCAACACTACATGATCGTTATTTTACAACACTTAGTAAAATTTTGGCACATTTAAGTTGTGTTCGTGTTGAACTTTTTATTTCAAAATGGGAGTTAACTTTGGCATGTTAAGTCATACCATTGCAATAACTCAGTCAGGTTGCGGGTTTGAAAATTTTGGTTAATCGATTGAGGGTAAGTTTAGTGTATAGAATATGTGTTATTGAGTAAGTTATGATTGAAGTCACAACAATTTTACTAAATTTGATAGTTAATCTTTAATGGTTCAATTTTTAGGATAATTCGAACAAATTTACAAATAACTTGTTTGGCAACAATTTACTGAAGTTATTTGGACAATGAGTTATTTTGAAATAACTACTTTTATCACTCTGCTTTTGCCAAATACCACACACCAAAAACCAGATTTGCATGACTATACTAAAAAAGATACTTTAATCCAATTACTACTGAAATAATACTAAAATATCAAATAAACAATTAATGGTGTCTTTTGGTTGCGAATGTTGATATCACCATTACTATTAGCTAGTATACTTTTACCAATTACGATTAATCACATAACATGTTTGCAAGTCATACAAATTGATTCAACATTTTGACTAGTTTTTTTAATTAAGTATATATATACGAGGTAAAAGGAAATTGGTTAAAATGTTGAGAAAAATACTTTAAATTAGTGTAATAAAATGTGTGAGTTGGTAACGAGTAATGTATAAGTTATTCGATGCGCTAACCCGAACAACCCGCAACCCGCCCGACCCAAAACCCAATGAACCCTCAACCCGATTTAAACCGAACCCGATGAACCCGAACCCGAATAACCCGCTACCCGACTAACCCCCAACCCGTTTGAACTCGAACCCGATTGAACCCCGCCAAAACCCGCCCGGTTGACACTTACTTTTTCTTTTGAGGGTTGTCGCCAGCACTAGACCACCACCGCCGGGGTAGACCCTGTCCGACATCAGTAAGCAGACCGCGTTCGTCGTCGACGAGCAGACCCCGTCCGTCCAATTCTTTGATAATGGTCGTTGTGGTCTAAGAAACGTGGAAGAGAAATATGAAATCATGTTTATAATCGGGTTAATTGCATGATTGGTCATTGGAATTATTAAAAAAACGTTCATGTTTGGTCACTGGAAATATTTAAATCCAATCTTGGTCACTCAAATTAGTTAAATGGTTCAAGTTTGGTCACTCTTCGTCAATTTCCGTTAACACTATCTTACGTGGCAGTCAACTTTCATAGTTGATCGTTAAATATGTGATGTGACAATTAAAAAATTATTAAAAATAATAAAATAAACTTTATATTTTCCACCTCATTATTACATTCATTAAAATATAAAAAAATAATAAACCTATTTTCTTTTCTACACACCCCAATACCCTACCCGACCCAACCTCACCACCACCAGAACACAACCTCCGGCTCGGCAGCGGCATTCCTTCCGTCTGCCGCAGTTAGCGATCCTCCTCTCCCATGGCCGCAAGCTTTTGGGCTTCACTACCACCGAGCACCCCTCTATAAAACCCCCCACAACCCAATACCCCCGTCCCTTCCACCGGGACCAACGATCTACAGCCAGACCTCGTCGCAACCCCAATTCTTCGTGCTATATATTATCTTCCAACGGCGGGGAAGAGACGAACAAATCCTTCAATTTCCTGCTGGCCCTCTTGGAATAGGATGGCAGATCTCGCCGCTGCTGGACCCCGTCGAACACCGCCATAGCCCTGCGATGATAGCCTCGACCTTCCCCTTGAGCTCCTCGATCCTTTTCTTCAACTCTTCCTTTTCAGCTTCGACCTTGTCCCGATTGGAGTCCAATTCCTCGATGAAAGTCTTACGCTCTTCTTCAAAATCTTTCTCCAGTTCTTCTTGGAGGGTCGCCCGCTCCTCTGATCGCACCTTTTCCCGCTCCGCAGCAAGTGAAACACCCTAACCCGCCCGGGTACTACTTTTACTAAAATGCCCTTGATAAATAAAATACTCAAATCTTAAATTGCAGCGGGAAAAGATTTCATAAATAAAAATACTGAAAATACACACTTGTAGTTCAGAGCAAAGCCCTAACACGTGGGCAAATTCAACTCAAACTTTAAATCTCAGTCTGATCTCCAGTATATACTCATAATCATAAAATGTAAATAACTAGGTAGTCTCTGTCGTTGCTGCAACTAAAAATCCTAACTAGGCATCCTCCGTGGCGCTTGCACTGCCCTCCTCTAGCTGGTTGCCCTCGAACTTTTCCTTCTCGAACTCGCTGCTCTCTAACTGCTCCTCTAGCTAGCTGCTACCGATCTGGTTCTCGCTCATTCCCTTACTAAGGCCTGGTGAGTGCGATGGGGTCAGTCTACGCCCTTACTTTTTAAACTTTCTAATAATTTTGCACTTCTTCTCAAACACTTAAACTCAAACTGAGGGAAGTTCTTTGTACTTCCATTCTTAAAAATCTTAACTCTTAAACTTTGAGGGAGTTGAAGTTACTCCTCCCTTAAAGCTCAAATCTTGACTTAAATACTTGACTGACACTGGGATCCCTCACTAGCTAGTCCGGTTGCCAACTCATACGTATGAGAAGCCATCAAGGCTTTCCTTAAACTTAACAATTCATCCCCCTAACATCTTAAACTTATCGTGGTTGCTCTTCACCACGATTCTCAAGAGCATAACTGCTGCTCTGTCTCAAAGATCTCAAGAGCATAACTGCTGCTCTATCTGAAAATCTCAAATGGCAACGGACTGGCGCTAGTGACTAAAAACACTTAAAATGACTTCACCTTCTTGAAGGTGAGTTACTTCTTTAAAAGAACTCGTTTCTTAAACTTTAACAATAACTCCTAGACATCAAGCTTCAAGTAAGAAATAAACTCATCCACAATTCACTTCAGATCATAGCTCAACCATCGCACATATCATCAAACATAATCATGCAATATCAAACATGAATCACATACTGCACGCACATCACGTAAATCAATACTTAAAAATACTCAAAGCAAATACTTGAAAAACCGTAAGGTGTAGAATTTACCCCCTTTACACTCACCTGCTTATACCACCAAAGACTCCACTTTGTAGATCAATAGATATCATGATTTAAGTGCCCAGAAGCTGCCGCAATACATCCCTTAGCATTAGCTTGACCTCGTTCGCCATCAACCCCATTCGTCTCTTTCACAAAATTCAGCCGCACCAAATTTGTCCAAGCCACGTTAAAGCACCTCTCATATCTCTACAAATTAACTTAACCATTTCCTTCTCTAGGAACTAATCAAGCATGAGTAGTCTAGGTAGCTTCCCAAAATGAGGGCCACAACTCTGCATGAGAATATCTATAGTAACGCGTCCAGCTCCTCAGCCTCGACTCGACCTTCACCCTGGATCTAGTTCAAGTTTTCCATATTACCGAAATCCAATAACCGTCCCTCTCATTGGGCAACGCTGCACCTCTGCCTGCTTGCACGTAACTGAAACTCCAACGGTGGCTTCCGCGTACGTGATGCTTCCCTGGTGCGGCTACCGACAAAATTTCAAGGACTAGGGACTTCCGACGTTGTTCATGTTCAATCCCGACTGCCGCCGGTGTTTACCCAGCCACCGATTCTCTTATCCTCATCGAGATCCCTCTCTCTATCACAGTCTGTCGTGGCTACCAATTGAACATGAGCTGAGTTTTACAGCTCTCGATTTTGAGGGATAGAGATTCATGAGCTAGGGGAGAATTGGAGCGATAGAAAGGAAGATACCAGTGTGGGGCGGCTACTCCATAATCTATATGTACTCTCCGTAACCGATCTAGGGTTTTAGTTTGTCCAAGGTTATTTGTGGAAATTCACACTTACGGGTGAGTTTAATCCGAAACTCAATTAATGTCCACAACTTTCTCATTTTATGTCGAAATTCGACACCGCTTGAACCGATAGTTCACATTTTTAATCCTCATCGATAATACGGTGGAACTTGACCCAAGGGTATAATAGTCATTTTGACTTTTGGGAAGAGCGGGGTGTAACATGTCCTCCACTCTTATAAAAATTTCGTCCCCGAAATTTAGACTGTGATAGACACCTTGCATTTGATAGTGCTTGCCTCGACTAAGATTTCACATTTAGTGCTTGCCTCGACTGAGATTTCACATTTCCCTCCTCCTTAAGAATAATTTCGACCTCGAAATTTTTGCACCTCGACAACTTAAGGTCTCACTTGAGGAAATCCTTCTACTACTGAGATGTATACTTCCTTTACCTTGTACGACCTTAAGCTATGAACCCTTTCCTCCAATTCGTGTGGTTTTTGGCCAACTAATTACTCACCCACTTTTCATAATTCTCTTGCTCAAGCTAGTTACTTGCTCAATGCGTCTATGGCACTCTCCCTTCTTAAATTCCTCTGATGCTGTAATGGCTTCGTAGCTCATATTGTTCTCAACTATTTGTCTTGAGTAATAAATTATTAGCCTGCCCTAAACAAGTCATGTCTCGTCGTAACTTCAGCTCGTAACATGCCCAGACCTTGAACTTCGTCCTCCATATCTTGACTGGTGACGAATCTCCTTGGTATCGAATGTTTGAATTGCTTAATGATTACCTCCGATGTTGGTTCCTAGGTATCGCTTCTTCTCCCTTTATAGGCCTCGTTATTCTCCTCTTTGATAATTCCACTTATTACGCACTCTTGATGCATGATTCACCATATATGGTACCTTTAGCATGAGAAAATCTCCTACGCATCCCTATTAATGTTCTTAGTACCCCTTTCAACCCCAAGGTTACTTATAGCGGCTTAACCTCCATCTTGTTCATCGCAAAACTCTTTTAACGTAACCTCATCTGTGGTTGACAACATATATCACCTAGGTCCTTGTACCTTATAACTTTGAATCTCTTACTTTCTTCCAAGATTCTTCGTCTCCTCTTTTTAGCCATCAACTAAATGGTCATCTCCTTGTTACTTCTTGCTTTACCCTGAAACCTCACACTACTACTCTTAGTTGTTGTATACCTTAAAAGCATCCTTTGCATCTTTCTCTAGCTTGCTAACAACTTTATGACTCCCTTCAAGAGTCCTGATTTTCCCTTTGGCTTACTTGTTCACTCCTGGCTCCTACTTAACACTTCTTTATCGCCGCCTGGATCTGAAACTATCGTACTATCATTCTGCTACTCTTAGATCCTAGCTGAAATTCCTCGTACGGTTTTCCGGTCCAATAGAGTCTTACCCAAGAGATTGACACCTTTCACTAACATAGGCGATCTTGGTTTCACTTTGGGGTATTCTAGCAGGTTCTCTAAACTCATATCCTTCTTACTTCTCTAACCACGACCCTTCTTGAGGTTCCTCGCTAGTTTTAGTTGTCCCTTGTTCTCGATGTAGTCCTCTTTTCACTTATGTACTTTCACCTGACCATGATTCCACCTTAAAGTTGACCAAAATTTCGCAATGGACTTCCCGAGGATCCATTTTTGTCCGCTGATAGTCAACCTAATACTTTCTTGCTGTCTTCTGTATTTCTGCTTCGACCCCTCCTAACTATTTCCCTCCATGTACACTCTTTGAACTTGAGTCACTTACACATTTTCCCGATCCTTTATCGGAACTTCCATGTGCTTCCTCGAATTCTCTGTCATTCACTAGAACATTTATTGAACGTTCCACTTACTTGTCTATGTTGGCTTAATGACTTACTCCTATAGCTAGTTTCGAGACTTCAGCTCTTAGCCCTCCAGTTCCAACTTATTATAGAGGTTCCTCCTTCTGTCACCCCTCCTGACCCTAGGAGGCTATGTGCTCCCTCGATTTAGGAGAGGACAATCCCATAACAGATCATCGTGAACTCTTGCATTCCTCTTTCAACGGTCCCAACGACCTCCAGACCTTTCATGATCTAGGTAGTTTATAGAGTCTCTCATATCCCAATCCATCCTCTTTCTAGCTCGACATTGTTCACAAGCACATTGTTATTCTTGATCCAAGCTCGTCCTCTACCTCGATAATCTTGACTCTTGTCTTGTTCCCTTTTAAAGGCTCGCTACCAGCCTA